GGGGTGGGCACGTGGGCCCTGCGGGGGGTGGGGTGGTAACCCCTGTGGGAGACATTTGGCTCCTGTTAGGGGGCTGTAATTGGAGCCAGGAGGACATGCTTTGATAGTTCAAAGCAGGCCACCACACCCAGAACATCTTCCAGGTGATAGCTACCCAGATTGCCGGGCAGGGGCATGCATGGTAGTAATGCCGCACAAAGGCCAACCCTACAACCACAGCCCACTGGCAGCTGGCCCAGAGGGGCAGATGCCTCATCTAGGTCTGGCAGGTGCACTGCAGGTCACAGCCAGACTGCTGCAGTGGGTAAAGGGTAAAGGGAACTCTCAGGGCTGCTTCAGCAGTCCTGCTGTCCCCAGGTACCAATTGGCTGGGCCCCAGAAGCTCCTGAGAGCAAGTAGCCCTGAGCTACTTGCCAGGGCAGCCTTTTATACTGATGGGGCCAGGACAAGGCAGCTTTTTATACTGCTACAGCTTTTTATACTGCACAGATGCTGGCCCTGGGCTCTAGCTCCCCCAGGCTGCAGATCTGGGAGGAGCCAGGCAGGGTTATTTTGCCCCAAGTGGCACAATTTGCTGCACAACAAAGTGCGTGTCCAAGCACCAGCGCCAAGGCAAAAAGCCCCAGCTCAAATCTGCACCGCTTCTATTTGAATTGCTGCAAGTGCATGTGCTTACATGTGTGGATGCACCCAAAAGGGGCTACCATCCCTGCACATTTCATCCGACTCAGGCAAGAAATGACAAATTTATAGGCAGTTTCTTCCCCATTGTAGCCTATGGGCAAAACATTGAAACAGTGTCAAAACAGCAAAACAGTTTCGATGAAATAAAACAGAACAATGCTTTCGAAATGAAACTCAAAACGAAACACTGTCCCGTCGAAACTGAAGTCAAAACAAAACAGCGCTGTTTTGCACAGCCCTACTTGTGGTTAATGTAGGCATGCCTTCAGCGCACGGCTACAGCAGTAACTATGGGGGAAGCAGACTCTTTGGGTGTCTATACACATGACAATTTTCACTATTTAAAGCATTCTAAAGCTGTCACTGTATACATGTGTGCAACTTTAGAACATTTTTTTAAATGGTGGAAGTTACCTTAATTAAACCTCATTATATGCATTTTAAATATAAGGTGAACTGCAGTAGTGCATCTCAGCTTACCTAGTTTACCTTTATGACACATTACTTAACTGGGGCTTTCCAAAGAAATAACTGTAAATTGCTACTGCCAGGTATAACCTAGCTCCTACTATACAGAACTACAGCAAGGCATGAAACTCGCACCAAACTGTGGAACATCTATTAAGATTTAAGGCACTGTACTTAAATTGCTTTAAGTGCAAAAGTTATAGTGCCTTTGGAGATGTCTGCCCTGCACATGTACATGCACCCTTCATCTTTGTTATGTACAGTAAAGCTGGAGGGACTGAGAGAGGTGCCAAAAAAGCAAGAATTTTTCAAAGAAGTTATTTCAAATACTTCCAGCCTATTGAATAGAATTGCTGCAATGTTGCTGGAACCCAAACGGGGCCCTGTGGCATATGGGGTGAATTCAGGAAGGAAACACAGGCAAATCCATGAGGTATATCCCTTCCTCAGCATTCTGACTCTGGCTAGCACCCACAGCAGTAACAATTGTTAGGGCTTCCTGGGTACTCCCACTTGGCATGCCCCAACACTTATTTCCTCAAGAGGAGCAGTGTAAGGCCACCACTGAGCTTTTCAAGACCTTGTATAGGCCTGCCCACTCTTCCCTCATCTGTAGTGAATGTTCTGCTAGTTCAGTGCTGGGCTTATCATGGTGGCATAACAAGCAGAGCAGAGTTGGTACCTGGGGCAAACCTTGTAGAGGAGGTGGGGGGTGTACCTGGTTTCAGGAGCCAGGGGATGAGTTGTGTATAGGTTCAGAGAGCAGGGAGGGCATGGGTTCTGAGATCAGGCGTGAGAAGCATGGGACCCAGGAGTGGGGGGGCAGGGTGCATGGTTCTGAGGGGAGGGGGCAGCAGTAGTCTTACCTATGCTGGGAACTCTTAAACAGTCCTGGCTGAACGGATACTGCTTCTATGCATGCTGTGCCCGCTCCACTGGTTGTTCTTAAAGCTACAGCATCCAGGGACTGTTTTAGAGTTCCTGGCATGGGTATGCTGTTGGGGTGCAGACTCCCCAAGGCTGGTAGGTAGTTTCAGTACCCCTCTTAATTTGGTGACTGGGGGAGATGCTCCTCCCACCCATTCCTAGTTATGCTGCTGGCTGAGTGGGCCGTGGCCAGGCAGTGCTTTGGGGCCTAGTAGGAACAGAGATGTCCCTAGTGGTGTTTTTCCCTCTTTTCAGGGCAGCAGAACTCAAGAACATTGCCTGTTGGGTTTATTTGCTTGCCTTGGTCAGCTCATCTTAACCAACCTCCTAACTGAGATTCATCCTAGTAAAACCCAAGCCAGATGCCTGGCTCAAGTACTGCATCCTTTCTATTCCCAGCTTGCCTCCTGTGTTTGCGTGTACCAGGTATATGGAAGGCGAATACTGCCAATCACAGTTGATTTAATGCACTTGCCTGAGGATCCTAGAGGTTGGATTAGAAGACTCAAACCTTATGTGGGTCACATCAACCTTTGCAGCAAAGGCTGGCCAGTACACTCTCTGTTAAGTATTATGTTTGTCCTGTTAAAATGGTATTGAATGGAAAGATTGGTGAAGGCTTGTCCAGCTGCAATTTGATAAGTAGTGGATAAGAGAACATGCATCTAGAGCAGAACAAACCAGCTTCCTGCCCATCCCATCTTTTTCCAAAGGGGCACAAGAAGTGGCTAACATGAGACAATCCATGAAGACCTGCAATGCAAAGCAGAGTAGACGAGGCCTTTCCCTGCCTCATTGCTGTTCTGAGCTCTCTGCATCATTATGCCAAGCCCTGGCTAGAGAATTAGCCCACCGTCCCTGTAAATGGAGCCAAGAAAAACCATGGGATAAGCACTAGTTCCCTCTGATGTTTCACGTCAAACTGTTGGAATGATAAAGTACCTTAACACTAGGTCCACCAGCGCAGATCTGGTTATAGAATGGGGAATTACACATGCAGTACAAAAAACTGATAAAATATAGGACCAAGTACTTCCAAAGATGAGAAAAATATAATGGTGTGAACTTGAAAAGGTGTTTTTCTAAAGAAATTAAATGTCATCATAATATTTTGGTAAGTCTGCTCATTTAATCTGAACCTGAACACAGGGTTGTACCTTTCTTACACAGATGTTCCTAGATGATTCTTTTTCCACAGTTGCAAGAAGGAGCTCTAGAAAGAGTTATCTTTCCTTTTTGTAAAACTTAAGACATTGTGTAAAATGAAATTATAAAGTGTTTAAATTATAAAATTGTTTAAAATTATTTATAAATGGCCATCTCTGTGTGCATTCTTTATATTTATACACAAAACTTTAGGATTATTTATAGACATATCCCAGAAACCATATACATACACTAGATTGAAAATGAAGGCCCTATACAGTCCAGACAGTGTAGAGCCAGCTAACTCAAACTGACACTGTCAACTTTTTTTTTTTAATTTGCTGCTCAGTATTCGTTAGTCCAAAATTTGAGGATAATGTTGACTTGCTGTTGAGCAATGGAAAAGGGTAAATTGTAGCCAGTTCTTGTGAGCTAAATTTGCTTGTATCCTACATGAAGTCAGTAAAAGTTAATCTAAACTCAGTACTCTGTGATGGTCCACAGAGATTTTCATCTTATTATGGCCAAACAGATTCAATGGAATAATATTTATGTAAGAAGAGTTACAGCAGGTAAAGGATATTACAGCTTTAAATCTCTGTCAGGGATAAAAGACCCATCATTAACATGACATTCCTTATGGTAGCTATACAGATAGCATAAAAAAATTAATAAATGGTTTCTTCTCCATGATTGGATATAACTAAGTAAGGTATATATATAAACATAATGTTTGACAGAAAGGCACATTTTCCATTAACTTCAAGACACAAAGGGCATCTATATACGTGCTCTGGGGTGGAGAGGGGTGTGCTTTAATTAGAGCAGCTCTGAGAGCTGCTCTAATTAAAGTGCCTACAGCATTTGAGCTTTTATTAAAGTGCCACTGCTGCAATTTTGAAACGTGGGGATGCTGAATACCCGTGACGCAAAGACTGTTGGAGTGCACTAATTAGCACGCTCCAGCAGTCTCACAGCAGACTCTATTAATCAAGTCTGCTCTGATGCGTACTAATTAGCATGCATCGGAGCGGAAGTCTGTCTCATGTGTAGGTGCCCAAATGTATTGTGGTCTAAATAACATAAGTGACTTTTTCATTTTTTTGTTTATAATATATGCATTCTATATACTGGGTCTGCCTTTTTGTGAACATAATGTCATCACTTGAATATATCCCTCCTTTACCCCTATATTTATACTGAAAAAGATGTCCACATGTATCTCCATTCCTAAGCTTTATTTTTCCAGCTACCTCATTACTACAATACATCTATAAGCTGGAATTGCTTTAGCTCCTATTTCTACAGGCAGTTAAAAAGGAGGCTGTAAGAATAAGATATCAAATCCAGCATGTTACATAGTATAGTGTGCATTTTATAAACCATACTGTCTGTGGGTAAATAAGCTCCTAAGAAATAAAAGTGTTCATAAAAATGTTGGGCAGCTATTCAGTGTAGTATTTACTATCTTGACTTTATTAGTATTATACATTGTTCCTGATGCAGAGCTAATTGAAGTCCATTGGAGTATTTTCATTTTGTTCAATGGATTTTGGATCGGACTTATGTTCTCCAGTTCCTTTATATCACCTACCAGTTGATCTCCTTTTTCTTGCCTTTACAATAAAATGTGGACACTTTGGAGGATCTAACTAGTTGCCTCTGAAGCTGTGCACTTATCTAGCCATATAGCAGGAGGATGCTATGCATTCTAGTTATAGGCAAGGCATACAAATACTGTATGAGAGCTAGGCTGGCATCAGCAAACAACCTTTAAAGAGACATACGTGTTTCCATTCATAAAGCATACTGAACTTAATAAGCTACTCAGGCCTAGCAGACTTTAAATCCTAGTAGCCCCTAAGCCCCCTCAGGCTCTCTGAATTAGAATTCACATTGTTTCTCCCTTTTATCTTTACAAAGCACACAGTAAGTTATTGGCTGCTTCTCTGATGATTCACTCATGTTCAAAGAATTCATGACAAGCTGAGGTGACCATAGCAATGAAGGCTACAAATTCCTGGAAGTCACATTCTGCATCACCGTCACAATCCAGCGTCTCCATCACTTTGTCCACTGTCTCCTGATCCTTGATTTCCTAGTCAAAATAAAGAAAACTACTTAAAAGTGGTGAAGGATAGGGTTGTAAATAAGATTTAGATGACCTGGTTGGTAACCTGTTTTGTTTTTTTCAAATGGAACTAAAATACAGTACAGCACACACATTACCCAGTAGGTTTCCAATGGAACTGGTTTCCCTATTAAATGTTTATTCTAACACATATAAAGTATTTTACTTTCTTTAATTCAGACATGTTTCCAATGCTTGCTCATGCTGGCTTCCAAGCACTGGCATGGATCCATGATTGCTTTTATAAGTCTCCCTGTTACCAGAGTCCCACATGAACTAGTAACCAAACATGAGTTGTTTACTGTGATAATGAACACACAACACCACTAACCTGTTTGTTTTTCCATTCATGGATTAAGGTGGGCATTTAAAGGTAATCTGACTGGAAACTTCGTAACAGCAAAAAAGAAGCTTGTTTCCTTCCTAAGTGATCAACATACACACAAGAATATGGCTGTAACTCAGTATGAGAAGAGAGCTGCCTTAAGGAAAAATTAGCTCAAACAGAAGGCAGAAAAATACAGAGTGGGTGTAAC